TGGAATCATGTTTTATCATTGTATAATAATAAAATGGACCATTAACACTCCTTTGTATATTACAGGTATGCCTTCCAATGATCTATAAGTAAACACCTAGAACATTTTCTAATAGTTCACCTGCCTAACAGTGATAAAATGCTTATTCATAGTGCTGTAAGCTTATAGAGATTTGGAAGACAACAAATTCCCAATCCATATACTAGTGCTTTAATGATGAGAGCAATAGAAGAAGCTATTCTTCCCCCATTGTGAAAAATATGATGCTTCTGTCAAGATTTGCTTTACAGGGGTAGATTACAAGTCCTCTGATACTTACAAGTAAGCTTTCCCCGACTGTGGCCTGTGAGATGAATGGCTGCTGATGTTAGTTTGCTATACTTGCTGAATAGCAGTTACAATATATCTGGCAGCATAATGTGTATGGAATTGTTATGTGCACTAAGCATCCTGCAGTTCTTATAACCCTCCCGCACACCTCGGGCCTGCCTTGTTGCTAGCTTTTCTGTATCCCTTGCTCTGCTGAATGGCTACAAGGTTTTTACATTCATTCCCATTTGTAAGGATAACTTGTCTTCTGTTCAATAATAATAACCACCTGCAAGACAATAATTATTATATATTGCATGCTGTGACCAAATGTCAGTATTAGTTCTTCGAAATACCAGAAATTAAACCAGGTGCAGAATGATCATGTTATGCTCATGTTTGATAATCATGTTATATCATCGTGATTTATAAGAGAATTCCATCCTTTGCAAGCTGTGACTTTAAAGGGAACCTGTGCTTTGCCCATGCAGAGTAAAGCAACATGTTTACTCATCTGCTTACCTCCTGGCATTGTTAAAGTGGTTCTAAGGGTACAAGGTTTTTTTTTACCATTCTGTGCATTGAGGTAAACAAAAAACCTTCTTCATGCATCTCCCAACCTCAGTCCCCCCAAATACTTACCCAAAGAACCAGCTTAAGGCTCCATTCACAAAAGCATATCACATATTCACGTGGTATTTAATTGTCCGGACACATTTTACAACCAGCAAAGCATGACATTATGGGGTTTATTTACTAAAGCTGGAGAGTCCAAAATCAGACTCCCTTCTGCATAGAAACCAATCAGCTTCCAGGTTTCATTGCCAAAGCTTCATTGAACAAGCTGAGGTTAGAAGCTGATTGGTTTCTATGCAGAAGGGAGTCTGATTTTGGACTCTCCAGCTTTAGTAAATAAACCCCTATGTGTTCATCAGATGTACATGCATTCTCATCCCTGTTCAAATTTCAATGGTTCCCTGACTGCATCCAACTTCCTTTGCCCCTGGACCTCTGATGTTTAGAAGACAGTCAATTTTACTTGCCATGAATAAAGTAACATCCATAGTTTGCTGATGTCACGGGACCAAATGACCAGTGCATGGGAGCATATGAAATTGGGCTGCAATCTAGGGAGCAGTAAGATTCAAAGAGTGAGGAGAGGCTGCAAGTGTGACTGGTGTAAATGTCACGTGTGCCATCACCTAAGATCTCCCCATCTAATACTAACTTTGCTATATTCTTGGGCTGTTTTTTTATTGCACACAATGGGGTTAATTTACTAAAGGCAAACAGACCATCCACTTTGCAAAGGGATTTTCCCCAGAGCTTATTAAAGCTCTGCTTGCTTCCATCATCCAACTATGTTCAACCAAAGATGCTGTTTTTTTCCTTTTATATGATTGGGTATTCTTTTCAAAGTAAAACTTCACTACATTCACTAAGCTCTGTGGCAAGTTCCCTTGCAAAGTGCAACCTCCCTTCCAAGTGAACAATCAATTTGCCTTTAGTAAATCGACCCCAGTGTCTCCTGATAGGTAAGGTTATCTCAGAGGTGTGCTACCTGGCCAATAGGCTACATGGGGCTCAAAGGAAGGCCTACCTTACATATTTGAGTAAGCAGTTGGTTGATTTGTGGGTATTGGGAAGAATTCCCCTCTTACAAATAGCTAAAAAGATAGCTAATTGGTGTTAGTGGTAGTATACCTGAGGGTCAGAAATTACTCATAGCTCTATAAACTTCTAGAAACTTCTGTAGGAAGCCTAGGGTTCTACGGATCCCTGGCTGAAAAAGGCTGATCGAAATAACAATAAGGTCTGAAGGTGAAGGGTTAAGACTGAATACATTTCTGAATTTCCAAGGCACCTGTCACAAACCTTAACAATGCAAACCGATGACAAAGTGCAGGTCAAAATAATCAATAGAACCATTGACATATAACAACTGACTAGTCCTGTAAAAGTCAACCTTGGCCTGTCCCCCTCTAATGCCTAAACCTCCAGAATGATCCTATAGTGTGTTAAGGGTACTCATCGATTACCTGGGAAGCTTGTGATTCAGGAGTGATGAGGCCAAGCTTGGCTTATACAGTCAAAATTTTCAAATAGCTTCAGCTGCATGTATCTCTGGTTCTACTTATCATTTCCACATATGCTTTAATTGAAGGTAACCTCTCCTAAAGAATTTCTTTATTATATTTTAATGTGATTGACCCATATATCTGAAAAGTTTATGCAGGTATGCAAAATGACCAAAAATGTACACCATCTTAGTGCTGACAACATCAAGTATGAATTTAAATCTCTGATTTCTTAATTGGTATAGCTAATGCGAATGCTGTATTTCCAAAAAGCCAATCTGACATAAGAAGAGGCAAAACCTGAGACCCTCCAACATGACAAGTCAGTACAAAACTCTATAGCCTCAGCTATACAGTGCTGTGTTCCAGGAGTAAGATGGGGACTTCCCATCCCACTCCTGAAACAAAATAGAATTGGACTGAGTGCTGCTCAGCCATTCAAAGCAAGTTTTGTATTCTAAGAACTAATACAAAGCTTCCTCTGAATCTTTGGAGTTGAAGATTGTGATGTCATCTGCCTGCCTCTCCACCTCGGCCATTCAGAGGAAGCCTTGTATTTATTCATAGAATTCAAAGCTTCTTTTGAATGGCTGAGAAGCACTCAGCCAAACTCGATTTTGTTCCTGGAGCAGAATGGGAAGTGCCATTGCTGGAACCCAACGTTGTATACTGTATGTAACTGACGCTATATACAGTTTATACAGTGCATACAGTGGGAACGTCTAGTAGTGAAAGTTATAGCATGGTCCAAAATAACTATTTAAAGGAGAAATAGGGATAAAGCTCTTTTGGCCTTACTTTTCTCGTGGGTCACAGAAGTGCACTTTGTTCTGCATTTCTGTGACCCATTTCAACTAAAACCCGCTGCTGCCTGACATTACAGAGCCAGTCCAGGCTATGGAAAGATCCTGACTTTAATGTCAGCATGAGTTAGCTGCTACTGCCCGCTCCACAGCTCGGAAGAGCAGAGCAGAGAGCCAGAGACTGACAGTCACCATTTTCTGCTCAGTGAAGACTGAGAACTAAGCGATCAGTGGTTTTGTCATTCAGTTCTCAGTCGTCATGGGTCGAGGTGAGTATAAATGTTTGTGTTTTTATGTTTTTTTTAAATCCCAAACTTCTCTTTTAAACTTCACCAAAAGCTGGAGATCAGATGGGTGTAATCAGAAAGGTAGGAAGGAGAGCAGCAACAGAGTATGTTGTAATTATCAGAATGGGTCAAGTTGAAGGGTCAAAACCCAGAATTTCATACAGGCTGAAAAGCATGCAGCAAGGCTGGAGGCAAACAAGAGACTTTTTCATGAATGGAGAAATAATGGTACGTGCCCCATATCTTATTTCTAGACATCTTCTGAGCACCTCTATCTTCCCCCACAAATAAGAATTCATAATAGTTGCACATACTACTGGTATGGTCATTCTAAACATGCAAACATATAGTAGATGTTCTCATGAACAAAGACATGGCTGATATGTAAATATGTATGGGGTTTCTCGATAGTTATCTGTCGAACACCATCTGAATGATACCAGCATTATGATTTTTATGGAAAACTATGAGTTACCTGTGAGCGAAATCAATAATAATTGATTATTATCGGTCTACAGGACAGCTATGCTCACGGAATGTTAGGGGCACCTGTAAAAGATGCCAATACAATTTCACTCTGGATTTTCCAGGAAAACATTTATATAGATTAATAATTTAATGTTCCTTACTTTTGCCAACAGGTAGTCATCACCTCATTTACCCTCCATACATAAGTACTTCTTTCTTGTATCATTCTTTTTGATGGAGCAAATCTAAGTTTCCCAGTCTACGATACCAATTTGCACTAATCCACAAAAATACCAAATATTGCTTCATTTCTTCTAAAACTGGTTGCCGAAAAGGAACTCTTCCAAATTCTTGTTCATTAAAATAAGATTTTTAATTTTAAAAAATGTTGTATACTCCTGTGTGCCTATAACATGCTTCAAACACTCTTCCCAATTTAATCACATTACACAAAAAAGGTATACAGATTTACAATTGTGGAACCAAAATCTGTATCATACACCACTAGTAAACTATAACAGATAGCTTTCCTGAAATGTATATATTTAGCACTTGTAAAGTACATGAATTCACCCTAGCAACAGGAAAGGCAAAAAGCAAATCAGCTGAAAGCACTGCAATAAATCACTGAATTCTAAAGCGTCAAAGGGATGATTTTCCATGCAAAGTACATAGTGAAGCACTGCAATCTGCAGTTCTAAGTGAAGCACTGCCATCTACAGTATCATTATTATGCACTACTATTAAATATGTTTAAGCTTTACCAGCCATGACACCAGGATGGCATCTATAGTATTAGAATCAATCATGGCTTCACACTTACAACCTGGAGAATCACTGCCATCTACCGAACCATGGTGAAGCCATGTTATGGAACTATGGCCCAAATGAGGAGAAGGGTCAGAAACTGTTAGTTTTATATTGCTGTCATTCTGTATTAACATTAGAAACAGAAATATAAAACTAACTGACAACTCATGGGGCCCATGGGGCCTGGGCAATAGGGGATCATGGGGCCGCTGTGTCCTTGCCCAAACTCAAAAAAGCCTATGAAAAAGGTACCAGGGGCATCTCATGGGGCCCCCTACTGACCCCGGGCCCTCGGGCTGTGCCCGAGTTTCCAAATGGTCAGTCCGCCCCTGGTCGAGGGTTAACCTTCCCAATGGGGACATGCTAGCCAGGAAAAGACTAGAGCCAGGAAGCTTGGCATGCACATGCTGCCTTTATCCTAAGACTGAACATAAAGTGGAACTAAATCCTCCTTTCTTTTATAGGTAAAGAAGCTGCGATCTTAGCCTCTGTTTGATATGCAGTTGCATTGGTGCTGCACATGTGATCCGTTATGACACCAGCAGGGGCAGACTGACAACTCACGGGGCCCCCGGGCAATTGGGGATCATGGGGCCCCTGTGTCCTTGCCCAAACTCAAAAAAGCCTATGAAAAAGGTACGAGGGGCATCTCATGGAGCCCCCTACTGACCCCGGGCCCTCGAGTTTCTAAATGGTCAGTTTGCCCCTGGACACCAGCCATTTGATGGCTTGACAGTTCAGTCAAAAGCACAAGTAAAGCTGGGTATACGTACCAAAATTTGGCCGGTTCAGCAGGAACTTGCTGAATTTTGGTATGTGTGTACCGCTGTCAGTTGACCAGAAGCCAGTCTAACAACCGGCTTCTGTTGAACGGTCATACTGGAAAGCCAGCATTCAATTAGCACTTGCTGCCAAAGGCTGAAGAACTGATCTGTGTGTTCTGGTGTCAGAATACAATAGATAGGCAGGGGAGACCCCTGCATTCATATTGCTTGTGTGTATGTGGGGGCTGTCAGGTTTTTTTTCTGTTCAACCTGCTGGTTGAAAGAAAAAAATATATATTTATATACCTTACTTAAAGTGTTACTGAACCCACAACAGTAAAATCAGTCTGTATATGCAGTAACGTATGTTTGTTATACTTTCTGTGGAACCTGAGGGATTAATCCTCTGCATTGTGTGTAAAAAAGGCTGTTTGATCCTGACTTCTCTGATCCTCCCCTTCTTCCAGTGTCCCCCTCTTATCTCCTGATAAAACATATTGTGTGGAGACACTCTGCACATGCTCAGTTTGGTGTGTATTCATAGGTTCATTTTTTCTTGGGAGAATGCATGTGATCAGCACAGGGCCAATCAGCACTGACCAGACAGAGGTCAGGGGTTCTGCATCCTCCCAGAGCAGAATTAAAACTTCTCTTACAAGCTTTAACATGTGCTCTGCTGGACACTAATAGAAGACTGTTCTAACTGCTGATAAGAAAAGGTATTTAGCAGTTTATATTTACTAAAATAATTGCATTTCCATGTTGTGTGTATTGTGGGAGACCAGCTATAGTGAATGCAGCTTCCTGGGTTTAGTAACACTTTAACTGTGACAGTTATCAATCACAGCATGCCGTATATGTAACTGATGTGAAGAACAGTTCAATCGAGGGGTTTAGTTCTGCTTTAAAGTGGTTGTAAACCTCAGACATGAACAAAGCATATCCCTCTACAGTGGTTATTTGTCTCAATTAAAAGCACTAAGTGTCATTTCTGTTTCCTGCTTCATTCCTCTGCTATCAGCATGTATCACTTCTGACAAGTTTTCCTAACACCAAAAGAAAAATGGTGACAGGAGAGGGACCTCCAGCCGATTGACAGCCTCAGCTCTGTTCTTGTGAGCTGTGTGGAGGGGGGGGACCCTTACAAAAAATAACAAAAGGCAACAATTTAGGATAATAAAAAAAATCTATGCCAACTCAGCAAATAGGTGTGGTCTCTGCAGCATAATATTACCACAAGAAAAAAATTAGGGAACCAAAAAGAAAACTACGGCCAAACACATACAGTAGCTGCCTAGATGGACACATGTGGCCTCAAATTAAAAAGTATAAACATTATTAGTGTGAATACAGTAAATACAAAATGACAATAACCCTCTGTCCCTTCCCGTCAATCAGCTCTCAGAGCTCTCCTCACTGAGCTCTGCAGTGAGTAATTTCAGTTCTCTGCCCCCTTTTTTGTGAACTCTCAGACAAGCTGTATAAATTCTGGACTTTGAACAGATGTAGAGGGGAGAAGACTGCAGATAGACAGGTACAACTTATGTAGGAGGATTTGTTTCATCAAAATCACCTAAGTCCAGTCACTTCACTGGGTATGTGTAACAGTTTACAACCACTTCACAGTTCACCTTTCAATGAAGCATTAAAGCTCATCTCCAGCAGAAACAATTGCATTTTATACTAATGCAGTGAACTTCTTATGCTTAAACCTGGTGCTCTTGCATTGTACATCTCATACTTCCTTTTTCTATAACCTTCATTGTAAATATGCCATCAGAGAATGGGAGCCAAGCACTTACTGTTGAGAAGACCAGTCACCTCCACCTGTTGTCAAGGTGCAGGGTGACCAGCAGGGCACTGACAACTCATGGGGCCCCCGGGCAATAGGGGATCATGGTGCAGAGTGACCAGCAGGGGACTGACAATTCACGGGGCCCCCGTGCAATAGGGGATCATGGGGCCTCTGTGTCCTTGCCCACATTCAAACCACACCCAAAAAAGCATATGAAAGGTACCAGGGACATCTCAGGGGGCCCCCTACTGACACTGGGCCCTCGGGCAGTGCCTGAGTGCTTGAATGGTCAGTCCGCTCCTGGTGACCAGTCACCTCAATGTCCCTCATGTAGCCTTTATTTCAGGCAGTGCTGAATTATTGACATCAGTGCTGCCAGATTCAGTGCATGTGTGTATTAAAGCAACTCTGTCACTAAACTGAATGTATAACTTAAAGTGTTACTAAACCCAGGACCCTGCATTCACTATATCTGGTCTCCCCGGACCCTGCATTCACTATATCTGGTCTCCCCGGACACTGCATTCACTATATCTGGTCTCCCCGGACCCTGCATTCACTATATCTGGTCTCCCCGGACACTGCATTCACTATATCTGGTCTCCCCGGACCCTGCATTTACTATATCAGGCAGTGCTGAAGTAATGACATCAGTGCTGCCAGATTCAGCTCATGTGTGTATTAAAGCAACTCTGTCACTAAACTGAATGTATAACTTAAAGTGTTACTAAACCCAGGACCCTGCATTCACTATATCTGGTCCCCCACAGTACACACAACATGGAAATGCAATTATTTTAGTAAATATAAACTGCTAAGTACCTTTTCTCTTCAGCAGTTAGAGCAGTCTTGTGACTTCTATTAGTGTCCAGCTGAGCACTGGTTAAAACTTGTAGGAGGAGTTTTCATTCTCCTCTGACTGTCCTATGAGGCTCCATGACCCCTGACCCACTGGACAGCGCCGATTGGTCCTGTGCCGATCACATGCACCCTCCCATAAAAAAAAAGAAACTCTCTAAAAATACACATCAAACTGTGCATGTGCAAAGTGTCTCCTAAGGCTCTGTATTATCAGCAGATGGATTGGGCAGAGATTGGATAGATTGGATCTGAGAAGACAGGATCAAACAGCCCTTTTACACAATGTGGAGGATTAAGCCCTAAGGATTATGATTCTAAAGAGAGTATAACAAGCATGCTTTACTGCACATAAGAACTGATTTTACTATTGTGGGGGTAGTAGTTCAGCTTTTCAGAAAATGCAGTCAAGGGACCCCATTAGATATTTAACGTCTTGACGCCGGCGGTATGCATATGCAGCCTTTTAGCAGGTAGGTCTTAACACCCAGAGGCTGTATGTATGCATACCAGAATATAAACAGAGCTGTGCCGAGAGTGCACGCCTGCACCATCCCAGCACAGCTACTGGCGGCTAACGGAAAGCTCTCGACCTCCACTTGCGAACAGAAGCTTTCTGATCATGTGACTGCTGTGACAGCCAATCAAGGCGATCACATGATCAGAACGCCCCCCCTCCAGATATCAGACACCTCTTAAAGAGCCGGGTGGCACCGACATTAAGGGGTTAAAATCTGTGCAGCTTTGTAAAATGCTCATTCATTTTATTGTTTTACCTGTAGGCCATTTGGGTCCCTCAGAAGCCTGGCTAGAAAAACTTCTAGTTGGCAACCTCCACTTCCTGCCTTGTTGCTAGGGCATGAAAACTGTTGATGTGAGCGTCCGATAGTTTTCATTACCTAGCAACAATAAGGACATGTGAGCTGCTAACTAGCCTACTTTGTATGTGGGAGTGGGGCTTCGATTCTACTGTTAGAGCGGAACTAAACCTTACTATCCCTTAAAGCCAAACAAGCTGTCATCTTAGCCTCTGTTGCTATGGTGCTACACATGTTATCAGTTATGACACCAGCCATTTGATGGATTGCCAATTTGCTTGCAAGCACGAGCAACCGTGACAGTTATTCCTCATGGCATGCCTTGAATGTAACTGTTTTAGGAAACAGTTAAAACAGAACTAAACTCTCTTTTACAGCCAAGGAAGCTGCCATTTTAGCCTCTGTTTAATCTACAGGTGCCATGGTGCTGCTTGTGATCAGTCATGACACCAGCTATTTGATGGCTTGTCAGTTTGGCTGACAGCACAAGCAAATGTGACAGTAATGGTATGCCTTGAATGTAATTGTTTTGGGAATCAGTTAAATTGTTGGGTTTATTTACACTTTAATTTGTACTAAAAAACTGAAGAAAACTGGAGCCTTGATCAAGCATAGCATGCTGAGGGTCTTCACCTCCTCTCCTATGTCTGCATCCTATGAACAGTCTGAGGCATAGTTGGTTGCCAGGCAACAGCTCATCTTATCAAACTAGTGTTACAGGATAAATAGGAGTTCAGCACTGCTAAAACTTTAAAGAGGTAATTTAATTGGCTCCTGTCTAAATTGAGCCTTGTATGCAAGATAGGAACCTTAGATTGTAAGCTCCTTGAGGGCAGGGACTGAAGTGAATATACAGTATATACAGTAAGTGCTCAGTAAATTGCTGGCACTGTATAAAAACTTGTAATACATATTTCTACTGTATATTCCATTTTTTCTTTATGAATGCTGGATACCTTAAATGAAGAATTTGAAAAAAAAAACCTGTAACAAATAAAAGTGGCGGCCTTGATCCTTTTTGTGGGCTTTCTGAAGCACCTTGAGCATGGAGAATGAGAACCCTTGAGGGTACAGCATAGAGAGACACTTGCACGATGCACTCGGCATTCCTCCATTGACCTCTTCTGACAAATTGAGCTTTTAGAAAAGGTTCTGTGCAGATATTATAGATTGGCATCCTCAAGTGGCGTGGCAGGGTGACACATTCTGAACAGCCATAGCAGGTATTTGAGTTACTTTCAGGGCCCATTTACACCATACACATTAGGATGCACTGGGCAACCTTGCTCAACACAATCCCAACACATAGACAAGGCAATTTTCCTACACACTGATGTGGTATGTGCTGAACAAAATAGGACATACATGACTTTTTATAGGATAATGGGTTGTAACACATTACTTGCCTACAGATTCACTTTGCTACACTATGTATTATTCTGCAGTTCTGCTACAACTGCACCATTCCAAGATATCCACCATCCTTGTAATCGCCAAGCCTGATCTCAGGCTCTACTGTAAACCTTGGCGAAGATCACTCATTTGCACTCAAATCCTTGTGTTTTTATTGGCTTTCATAACTGTCACAGGATTCAAACTTTTGTTCTGAATAGTGCCATTACCACTACTAACATGATGCTGTAACAATGCTGCCCTATGACACTGTGGTGGCTCATTGTAAGGGGCTCCTACAGAAGGACAGCTGTACAGTTCCATGATGGAGCAGTGCCACCTATAGAAACATGATTAAGCAGTGCCACCTATAGAAACATGATGGAGTAGTGCCATGGCAAGACACAGACTTTCAGAGCGAAGAACTGCTTTCTAAAGAAACATAACCCAAGGCCAGCTGCAATGTCATACTGGAACTGTTATACTGTAACAACGATCTGGTACAAGCATAATCTTAAATCCGATAAATTGAAATTTCCACTCTCAGGGTGAAGCACTGTCAGCTCCAAGGTAAGCTATGCAGTGTTCAGGCACTGCAATCTTATGCAAGAACCATTGTTAACCATGGTCCTCAGCCTGCCGTTGATGCACTGTCATCTCCAGCACTGCATTTCTCTAGGAATGTAGAAAGGCTTCCCCTCTACACA